AACGGAAAATTTCACTTTTCTTCCGGATCGTAAGTAAACTTAAGTACAACCATCTTAATCATCGATGTCTACTTGTACTTCAGGTGGCATATCTAGTAATTTGGAGGCCGTTTGACCGTGCATGAACATGTTTTATGCCAAATCACAGAAATGGAATATCACGTCGTCACGCGGTTACCATTTTGTTTCGTATCCATTCCGTAGCTGAAGTGCAGGTTTTAGCGTGTCAACTATACTGCAACAATTGTTTGAGATGTTATTCATGTTTCAGCATACACAGGGAGTAGTTCTTCGGGATTACCAGGCACCGTGTTGATAAATCTGTAATCTAACCCTTGTTTGTCCTCCCCGAATGTGGTATACCTCGTAACTGACATCACACCGTAAAAAAATGACACCAAAACTATTGGCACCCACGATGGAAAAGTTGCCGAAAGCACGCGGGTTTCTTCTTGCAACAAAGCAAGGGTTGCATCCGGGTACTTTGATCGCAAGACGTTCATCCAGAAAATCTATAGAGGGCGCACGCGCGATCGCATTTAATTATCACGTCGTCACGTTTTTTAGTGGATACGAAGTCAACTACCAGTGAGTAACCACGGTTGTTTTTTAAAAATCGTGTAGTTTTTTTCATGATTTCTGGTTGGATACGAATGGAATGCTACTGTTTCTCGTGGAAATCGTTATTTGGGTCTTCTAAATGACTCTGACATTTTACAATATGTCGGTAAATTTCGGTTTCACCTCGCAACATTGCTGACACGAAATGTTACGATGGGCGCTGAGACTTCCGTGATCGATACTTCAGAAATGCAAGACGCATGGAATAAATAACAATCAGGGAATCGTAAACGGTCTATTGGTTCAACTTTATTTGCAAAACATTATTTAAAATATACTCTTGGGAACACAGAATCGTACATTGAAGACCGAGTATGTTTCATGTCACAAAATATTCTTAAAATAAACATGGATACCATGATATTTTGGTGACGTAGTTTGGGTTTCGACCAATTGGAGGTCCCAAAAAAATTTTTTTTCTTGTTCGCCCATTCATCCTCAATAAATCGGGATCGATAAAAAATGTGATTAATTTGTCAAAAAAAAAAAATAACAGCACTTTGTTTTCACTGGACCACTGTCACTGATGCATTGATTGTGTACCCAACTTCATGGAATGACCCGTATGTAGGTGTGTAATCGATTGCAAACAAGTGCGATGGTCAACTGGGGCCAGTATTTGAAAAAAAGCCAGTTTTTTTCCAACGCTGGTCGGCCGACCAGCGTTGGAAATTGATACAAAAATACCACTTTTCTTGAAAATGACAGTATATACCAGGTGCCATGATTTTACAGGATGCTTTACACTGTCATTCACTAACAGTCCAGCAAGGTATTTCAAAATGATTTGGTAGTTTTATTTGTTGATGTTTGCAAATGTTGTATTTTCCCTTTAACACAATAGCAAGGATCCATCATGGATTCTTCTTGGTTGCAGACCAGTAGGCCTATTAACTGCTATAGACCCCAGTGATGAATATGCCCACTTTCAAAATTCACGAAAAATACCGACAACTCTCCAAGGTGTTTGAGACACACATCAAATAAAACTTCAAGCTTATTTCATCAGCTTTCATTTTCTTTTCAATTTTTTTTGGTTAACCAATGACTTTTGGGAGAAAATTCCATTCAAAGATAATTACTCCTAAAGTAGTCCTGTAGCCCAACGCCAGTGCCACAATGATGCCTGTGCTCCATTAATTGCAAAATAGAGCAATGTTGGGCCCAATTTCATCAGAATTTCACAGAAATACGAGTTCGCAGTCCTGTACACGGCTTCCACCCTTCTTTCTTTTTGCAAACCTCAAGTTCATGACCCACAAAATGTTCTAATACCAGAGAATTTGAAGGCAAGCAAATTGTGATTTGGCCGGCGTAGGCAATTTCGGGCCTATTTACTGGCCTGCACCCACGTGGGTCAGGCGCTGTACATGGGTAAAATCTGCATATACCTGGGCCGAAAATCTAAAATGTACAGCTGACAAGTGTACACACCATTGTTAAGTGTGAACGGTACTCCTTGCCTTTCGGGTATCCGTGTTCGATGGGATGCGGTTATGCTTATGGTGGGCCCGTGCTGAATCAACACGAGTAGGGGAAATTCTAAGTGTGGGAAGGCATTAACTTGACACCACATGATCATCACCTGTGTGGAAAATGTCAACGGTGGACTCACTTGAAAAAAAAATATCCAGTCCAATAGATCTTCCCATTCTCTCTAAATTCAGAGGCACTTTCACAAAACATATTTCTCTCTAACATCAATTTCCTACATTGTAAATATCAATAATCTGTATGACGGTCACAAAATAATATCCACGATTTCTGAATAACAACTTTGCTTGTGTCAAAATCAACTCTGGGATTTCAGTGATGGTCCCTCCTTAGTCATGACCTCGGTGCCTCCTTGAAATCTTCCTGCAGACACGGTGATCTTTTCTAATGGGTTTGAGCACTTCACATGAGCAGCCTGACCTTGTCTCATCAAGAATGACATTCCACGGTGACCTCTCCAAGAAAGATATCTGAAGGGCTTTTAAAGATGTGCCTTTTTCAATGTCCTTGTCAGGCCTTTCAATCCCCCCCCCCCCCAAAGTTATCTTCACTGTACACATGAGCCACACTCTTGTGAGTGCCAGTCAGGCTACATATGTGCAGGACCGGGACCTTAGGGAGAATAAAAGTAGGATGGAAAAGATAACATTCAACGTACATGTATCTTGGAAAGAACAGGGACTGCAAAACTAGGACGACAGGCTACGCCCTGTATGTCACTCACATTTCAGCCATCGAATCTGAATCAGTAAGTGACGTAAATTCCTCAGGCGAGGATCATACCAATTTCTCAGCTTTGGACAGATTAAGTTGGAGATTTCCCCAAATTGCCCCTTCCTCTTTGCTCTCTTTCCCCCCTTCCATCTTTCTTGGCCCCCTCTTCTCCCCTCATCCCATCCTCTGCCCCCTGCCCCCATCCTTGCCCAATTTCAGTCGTCGAAGACATAAATTCCTCAGACAAGGATTAATACCAATTCCCCAGCTTTCGATAGATTTAGTTGGAGATTCCCCCACATCATCCCTTCCTTTTTGCTCTTCTCTTAATCCCCTTGCCACATCCCCTACCCCCATTCCCCTACCCAAGGATCAACAATCCTTCTGACTGGATTCGGTCCTCCCTTGTCCCCCTGTCTCCCAACTCCTACCCTTCCTCGCCACCCCCCCCCCCCCAAGGATTAGGGCATAAGCCACATGACTCCAAATGACAATCTTAACTCCACCTCAATCGAATATTAAGTGGATTGCCTGAGATGTTAACAGCCACCGTTCCTCACATCACCTCTTGGAGGCCCCAGCCCGGAGTATAGGATAACCCCCCTCCTGCCTCGCTCCTTGCAATCCATCCACTCCGGTGTCTCCTTAGCGTCTCCAGGAGGATGAGTCATCGCTAGCCAGACGTTAAAGAGACTCTACCCAAATCTCTAGTGTCTTTACCCCGATCTCTCTAGTGTTTGAGCTGACACTGTGCACGGACAGTAGCCAACGCTTTGTGGGAGCTGAGTGGTTTGAAGAATGCAAATTAATTTTACTCTAAAGTGGACAAACTCATATTGAGCATCAGGCACCAATGCATTCAAAATTCCCATCTTTAGAATGGTCTGATACAATGCATGTTCATAAGATGGAATTCTGCGTCGGGGTGATTTAAATTCAATAATTACCGGTAGGTTTTGCCCATGTGAACGTATCGGTACATGTACGTGTATGCTCAAAATCAATCGGGACAACACTGAGTATATATGTCGGTGAAGGGCATAACCCAATGTTGAATCATGTGCACAGGGCGCATAGACTGACTGAATGGTGTCAGTTACAAGCTGAAGTCAAATGGGCGCCATCTTGAGAGGCCCGAAACGTATACAGATCCTGCTGTCAATCTTGATAGAGGGCGCTCTACTTTATACACTAAACACACACAGCGGCAACCTTCGCTCGTACCCCCCGCCCTGCAAACAGGACGCTGGTCAGGGCTGACGTCATTTGAGCTCTCATTGGATAGATTTGCGTGACCTGTGACGTAGAACGCGTCACACAAACTAGCTTCCGGTGCCCATCATGCGTAGCGCGCGCTAGCTGCATGCGAAGGTCAATAGATACTTCCTTCACAAAATTCTGTGAAGCTCATCAGCCCTTACCAGCGCCCTGTTTGCAGGGCGGGGGGTACGAGCGAAAGCGGCAACCATTTGAGACAGAGAGGGACTCACACGTGACCTTTTCTTCAAATTTCAAGGGGCATCAATTTAATCTTCATGAAGTAATATTGACTGGGCCTAACCATCATGAAAGATCTGGTAGGCTTAAGACTAAGGCTGCTGGTTCCTTCTTCCTCCATTGTCTGTCTGAATTACAAGCAGCTGTTCAAGAACGATGGCTTTATTTTGTCGCTGAAAATGTTTCTGACAAATTCTGACAAGTTTTGCAGCGACCATTAACACGTGATTACTACATGTATAAGAGGACCACAGAGTACCGTCGTCCAATGGTTACAATGCCTGACTCGTGTTCCGACTATAGGAACATGATGCTTGTGTTCTTGGGCAAGACATTTTACTACAATCGTCATGTAGCAGGACCACAGTGCAGCGTGGTCCGATGCTTACAGTGTTTGACTAATGTCATGATGGGGAACATGGTGCTTGTGTTTTTAGGCAAGATACTTTACCACAATTGCCAATTTCCACCCCAGATTATGAATCTTGTTTCGTGGTCTGATGAACAGGGGTAATAACTCTGAAGCGATACACAGTAAAGTGTGTACATGTTTGTGGGAAGGTAGACATAAATATTGCTTTTGTCTTTTCTTCATTCTAAATTTACTCAAGAATTCCCCCCAAAATTTCTATTTTTCACAATTTCTTCGCAACATCTCCGTTGATCTATTCCAGAGGCGAGCTAAGGGCCAAATCTTACTAGAGCTTGTCTTCAACCATCTGGACCTGATAGAGTGCGACTACTTTGGTCTTCGCTACTCCGACAGCCTGACCAACGCAGACTCCAAGAGATGGTTGGACCCCATGAAGTCCATACGCAAACAGGTCAAAGGTCAGTAAGCGTTTCGCTAAGCACAGAACGTATTTGCTTAACAAAAACAGGTCACCAGTGAAAATGTCATGTAATATTGATTGTTTGTGACTGGTACTCAGCTGATTTTGGCTTTACATTAGAATTTGCTTAGCAGAAATTTGTGGTTCCAAGTTTTATGATGAATTTTTTCGTGGACCGAAATTTGAACGTTTGTTTCATCTTGTTGCTTCCCCAGGACCGATGTATTTCACCTTTGCCGTCAAGTTTTTCGTCTCGGACCCAAGCAAACTCCAAGAGGAGTACACGAGATACCAGTATGTCCTACAGCTGAGGAAGGACTTACTAGAAGGAAGGTGAGCGGCCCTCTGTGATATCTAAACCCCTTACCCATGGGCGTCGCCAGACCAAGTTTAATGGGAGGGCGGGACCTCAACATTTCGTACAGAGACTTATTTCTGATTTTTTAATGCATCACGTGTTGCGTGGGGGTGCTTTTCAGTGCCGACGGGACTGGACACCATTTGACACTAGGTGGCGCTATTCATTGTTGCACATTTTGCCAACTGTGACACGATTCCGCCAAGGAGAGACAATTTACTGATGAAAGGTTCTAATGAGGGGATTGTACACCCCACGACACCCTTCTCTAGCAGCACCCATGATATTCTTGAGCTTCAGTCTTTAAACTCCCAACTCTCTTCCCGTGGCTTCAAGATTCATAATTGTGATGAGAGATAGATCTGACAAATGTTAGGATCAAACTTCCTTTTCTGAAAACGCTCTTCTTCTCAGCATTAGGACAGAGAAAAACACACAAAGCTAGACAAAATTTGAACCTTTGCGATAAAACATAGATAACTGTCAATTCAAAATCGTCATCATTCTCATTCACCTTTGAAAGTTTAACCCTGGTCAAGCGATTCACTACAGAATCGTGTAACCACATCAACCTGTCTCCCGGCAAAAACCACAAAAAGCCTGTCCGAGTCAGATAAAGACGGATGCACTGTGAGTAAGTAGACGCGCTGTCATGCCACAGATCATCTCTAAGAAAAACCCTGCGCCAAAGCGTGAATCATGGCACTACCCACGTACATCCTTAACATGTAATACCCTCTGATGGACCTAGTCGAGGTACACAGACACTTTTAAAAACTTGATGCCCAAAATAAACTGAATGAAACCATTTTGAGATAAGGAGATAGATGAAGCGAAAACAAAATTGATGTGTTGTGTGTGATCGTTACCCGTTTAGGGTAGTGGTGGGAGAAATCAGAGATTTCAAAATCCGGTTATCCTAGTTTTCTTCAAACCGAATAACAGTTATCCGATTTCACCGGGACTTCCCGTCCACCTCACAGTCATGCCAGCAAAAAGTGACGAGTGAGGTGCCGCATGCAATGCCCTCCCAATGACTGGGTATAGTTTGCAGGATTTAATGACCACTGGGCCTTTATAAAAACACTCCAGAGCTGTAACGTTGAAAATATTGGTGGGAACTCTCTGATAAACAAAAATGTCAACCACAAGCTATTTTACAACTTAACCAGCAAATGCTTTTGCAATAATTCTTCAAACGAAATTCTTCAAACGCAGGTTCCATTTGCGGAGAATTACATGTACATGTGCTGTACTCGTTTACATGGTATTGCTGTTATTGATGTATTCTACATACAAACTCACGTGAGAAATGTGAGAAATGTGCACAGTGCTTAGGACCTCATACCTTACTCCATTGCTGTCGTCAAGTACTGTTTAATGTCTGCAGGTACGATTTATCAACACTACCTAATTAAATTGCTCATGAAACAGTCACATGCTGTTAAACAGCACTATGATTTCTGCACACACACAAAAATGAAATAGAATGGGATAATGTTACATGCCTTTCAAGGAGATAATTTACGTGGGAAGACAGACCAATTTATTTTCCACGGGAGACTACCCACACCAACCCAACAGACAGTTGTTTGTGTTTCCTAATGCTCGTTGACATGTGACAGATTAGCCGTCACACGTCTTTAATAAGACCTGCTCCCCACCTTATCCGCTGCGATCCAATTATATCCAATTAATGTCTCATTATGAATCACTGTTAAGCCTACGCCTACTAACTCCTTATAATTCTGATGACTTAATTTCTGAAAATCGGTCGAGTGCACTCCCTTGCGATGAAGCAAATGCCAAAAGGAGAATACAAGATTATAAAATACAAAAATAAAAATTTGAATCCGCCCAGAAATATTTTTTAGCTGTTCCCAATTTCAGTTGGGAACAGCTTTTGTTTTTGTTCAGATTTTTTGTTCCTTTTTTTTTTCTTCTTTCACTTTTCCCATATGTTTTGTACACGTTTTCATTCTACAAGCAACTTTGGCAATTATTTTAAATCCGATCAACTTTTTTATTTTTATCTAGAAGTTAGAACTGATTACAGATATTTCGAAAAGTGATTTCAGCTACGTTTCTTTTCAAAGAAACTGATCCATCCATTTAGGAAATTGAACTTACAAAATTCAAAAATATCATTCACACCTTTTGTGGCAAGGGTTGTCAAAGAAAAAGTGCCCATGTCCAACTACATGTATGACATAACATGACACACTCTGATTCCATGCTATTGTATATTTGTCTATTTCTGCTATTGTCAAACAATTTTTAGATATGATATAAGTTGATTTCTGACTACGGCTGGATATTTGAACTGATCTCAACTATTCTGAGGGCTGACATCACATGAAACTATTTTGAAAACTGATCTCAGCTAAATACAATGAGAAAAACTGCTGACAGCTGTTCTTACCAGATAAAATTTTAAATACTTGAAACCAATTTTAGTCTTTACATGTAGGAATTTAGAGGAAAGTCATCAATATTTTTGTAATTTAATGAACAGTTAATAATTCTGCCACTTTTCAGTTTTAAAAAATGGCAGCAAGCTTCAGTTTTCAATTTTAATTCCTGTTAATGTTTAAAAAAAGAAAAGAAAAGAAAAAAAAGACGTGTTCACTTTTAACTCTCAAGGCTACTGTAGATTACATGTATACCTTGCCAGCTAAAAATGAGAGAGCTGTCTGCCAAAAATACATGTACCCGCTGAGTTCTCCGATTACAATAATCGGTCTAGGCGTCCTGGGCTTTAAGCGCCATCGTGGATCCGGGCTGAGCCAGTCTGATCAGACTAAGGGCTTACGTGTCCATCAAGACCAGCGAAATGACTGCCGGAAACAAGCGACTTGTACAAGAGTGCCAAAAAAAAATTTAAAATCTGGTAAGCGTGGGAAAAAAATATGCTTAGCATGAACAGGTACCGGCTAAAAATGTCATACAATCTGTATGCTGCTTGTAACTGGTACTCTGCTGTTTTTTGCTTAGTGTAATATATTGCTTAGCACTGTTTTCTGCTCAGTAGTTGAGTTCAATGAAACTAAAGCTCTGAGCTTAACTTAAAACGCAGGAACCCAGGGGCCAAACAGAAGTTTTCATGGAACCAGCCTGTCAAAGAACATACCGCATAGACATAATTGGGAGACATGCTTGGGTGACGTGGATTGTTTTGAGGTTTCTCAGAATGAAGAGGGTTTGTTTTATTTGTGGTTGGCGGTGCTGTCATGAGGTTTTTCTCAAAGCTTTATCAACCCCGGACAAGATGGATTACACTTGTGCATCGTTCTTGATGAAACAACAAATCCAGGAAGACTGACATTACCGGCAATTATTCCGTCTTTCTCTACACTGGGAGGGGATTGGAGTGTTGTGAAGACTATGGGCTCCGTGCGCCCACAAGAGAGGGCGCTCTTTAACCACTATCGAGAGACAGTCAGATCACATTTCAAGCAAGCACTCTGACTAGTCTATTTCAGTCAACAGACAAAAACAGGCAACTGGAAGGCACAGCTGGCTTATCAGTCACCTACAGTTAAAACATTGGGCAAGTTCGGGCAAGGACCATTAGTCGACTAGTGGTTGATTTGTGACGTACCTTACGCCTGCGCACTAATAGCATCGTGCGAACGTCTCTAGTCAAACGCTGGTCAAAATGTCATCGCAAAACTTCTGGATCCTGGCTCTCTGCTAGCGTTATGGATGCGCGCGGCTATTGGTTACCATCGAAGCAACCAACCCCAGTAGGCTGGTTCCAAATAGTCGACTAGCGTAGTCAACCATCGTCGACTAGACAGAGTTCGGGCAAACGTTAGTTAACCATTGGTCAACTATAGTCCTTGCGCGAACTTGGCCATAGCTGTATCAAGTTTAACAGTCACAGCCAGTCAATCCTGCTTTTATGTACATGTAGGCTGGGAGCTCTTAACTGTTCAAAACAGTCACTTGACTGATTTGGACTGCAAGGACAACTTGGCACAGAATGTACATGTATGTTTGTGTAGGAGAGTTAAAGTGAAAAATGTGCACTGCATTTTGAATACAAGTACCAGTATACACTTCCAATGTACAAAATGCCTACGTGCCTGCAAGCCGTTTCAAATTCAAGCGTTCTCTTAAGCAGCGACCGAAGATGACACACGTCTTCTTGTTTACACCGATTGGAAGGCCAAGGAAGTAAGACATTATCAAGAAATGTCGCATCTATTCCTGGCGCAGACGAGATAGTCATTGACCCGGTCCTCGCGGATATGTCGCGACTTGTATCAATTAGGCGATAATCAGCTGGCAGCCATCTTGATTCTGCTCGGTTGTAGAAGACTGGAAAGAAAGTTTCTGTATTGTTTTTTTGTTAGCATATGAATTTGGCTAGGCCTTGTACTCACTGCTCGGTAGTTCAGGGGCCATTGGTCATCTTTGGCTAATATTCTGGATTGTGTAAATGAGACGAAGCATGCCAAGAAAATCTGGTATGAGAGTGCACACAATTTTGTTTGATCGTTTCGGAATGGCCATTGACTGGAAGTCTTTTCATGCATCTGGACTACACAATGGGCTTGATTTAGCCCATTCACTAGCGTTACAGGTACAGCACTGCCAAGCTCTCTTCAACAGTGTACAACTAGTATGGGGCGCTGTGGTCCAATGGTTACGGTGTTCGACTCGTGTGCCGTGGTACACGGGTTCGAATCCTGACCGTGGGAACATGGTGCTTGTGCTCTTGAGCAAGGCACTTTACCATTATTGCTTCGTCCTTCGGATGGGACGTAAAGCCGTAGGTCCCGTGTGTTGTGTAATGCACGTTAAAGAACCCAGTAACACTTGTCGCTAAGAGGAGGGGTTTGCCCCGGTGTTTCTGGCAGTGGCAGCAATTATGCGCCGCAGCACCTAGCAAAAAGGTGCTTCATAATGGGTCTCATATGTTCATAGACTTCATTTACCTGGCTTTGGTTGCATTCTCCCCCAGCGCTTT